ATTCTCTTGATATATTTATTACATTAATTTCAATTAACAACAGATTAAATTAAATTAAACGGTAAGGAAAAATTTAATCCAATAACTTTTTAAACTGAACATTAATTTTAAGGGAACATTCAAAATTATAACTGAGGAAAATTTGCTTTGGATACTAATTAATTGAAATTAACAATAATAAAGGCGTAGAAAATAAGTATGCCATTATTAATTTGAACACCAAAAAGAGACAAATAATTAGGAAAATTATCCCTTTAAATTCTTAAAATTATTAAATTTGACAAAGCTGAGAAAAACTTTATACAATTAGGATTAGTCGGGAGGTTTTAGCGAAAGTGGAAGTGAAAGTTCTCAAAGATTAATTTGGTCATAAAAAAGAGTTGGCGCTCAGTGTAATTCCGATTATTGAATGATCTCTTAAAACTGTAGAAAACTGAGAAAAAACCTAGCAGCTAATATTGGCTTTGCTTAATTAGCACAGACAACAGAATTCGACTTCCATTATCATTTTAGCAAATTTTTTACTGATATAATAGCCAAAATAAAATTTGAAACTTTTGTTTTTTGTTGTTTTCCATTTTTAACCAACAGAAATTATAAAGCGAAAATATGATTGAAAATTATAGAAACTGTCGTGTTTTTTCGAATTTCAAACGAAAACATTAATTTTGATTTTTTATTCAATCCAATTAATAATTCAGCTTTACACTTGAATTCAGAAGCGATACTTATTCAAAATACAATGATGAATAGGTATTAATAAAAATAACAATGATGAATGGGTATTAATAAAAATAATCTGAGAAAATTCTTAACTGCAGTTTGAATCAAAAAGATAATAGCTGAACGAATTATAAAGTTTTTATTGATAATAACAATAAAGAGTGAATTCATCCATGCATGAAGAATCTTAATCATCATTAAAATGCAGTTCATGACAGAGAAGTTTAATTGTATTAGGAAAGAATTTGCTTATATAAAAAAAACATTTGAATATTTTTTGCGTAAATTCGACTCCGAATCATATAAATTTCGGAGCTTCAGCTGCTGCCATGTTTAAATTTACTTAGGTTCTGTTATTACCAATATTATTTGGACAGTCAAAAATCGATCAATCATTGTATAATGGAATTCACTGATTCCTATACTTCTGGTATTTTTTGAAGATATCGCGTCATTTTATGGTTATTTTACTGTCCATAACCAGTCTGTCGCTACGCCGGCAATGGATGGCATTAAAAGCAAGAGAACCAAGAGATGGATTGGTCTTGCTAGGAAGGATTTTGAACATATATGGGCTTCTTAAGATTTCGCTTCACCTAATGAGAGGAAACAACATAGAAATACTTCATCCTTGTGAAACCAAATCAAACAATAATGGTGCCAGCATTAAGAAGAAAAAAAGAATTTAGAAGTATTAAACTTAAAATATTTCAAAATTTATATTATATTAAGTTGAAGAGACTTTTCATCATTACAGTTTTCTAAAATTACTGTTAAATTATTGTTACATATAAATTCGATTCGATATCTCGTAAAAATTTTATTCTTCATGTATGATTTAGCAATTTATAAGTACAAGGAATAATACGAATTCCGATAATACCATTTAATTCCTTTTCTTTCATCCTTCTCTGACTTATTTGCTTAAACTTCAATTAATTGAGCATTTATCTAGTAATTTAAAACTAAGTAATTCCACACAATTGGACTTCAACGAATACGTTTCCATGACAATAGATAATTTATGAGGATGCAAAACTTAGAATAATTCCTAAACCTTCCATTTATGGAAAAAATTATTAAAGCTGAGGGACGAAACGAATTATGTAAATCATTTAATCACATTTAGATTATTGACAAAATTGGAATTATTTATGGTTGGAATTCGCCCATTTATGCAATTACAAAGAATATTACATGCAATAATCTCATTTATAATCCGTCCTCCGTCCTCGTCTAAATCGCGAGTGAGAAAGAATATGACAAGCAATAAAATTATTTGTACTCAAATGAATTTGTATTCACCATCTCGTTGAAAACATTTTTAAAAATACACTTCTTTCTTTGATTTTAATCAAGAATTAAGAAGGAAAATGGGACCAATTTTTTGCAGTCTGAAAAAAAGAAGTTGATTGGTTCCATTATCTTTTCTTAAGGAAATAATTCTTTAATACTTAATAATTTAATAATTCTTTAATTCTTTAAAACTTATATGAATAAATAATTCTTCTTAAGCCTCATTTTTTTCACTTTCGTTGGTGTGCTTCTTCAATCATAAATCTAAATCCATTGTAACATTTTGCAGTTTATCATTATTTATTGTAATGTGCAATTACAAAGTTATTAAGTTGTTTATTTATTTTATTATTTACTATTAATATTAGTATAAATATTAGAATAAGCGAAAATAACAAAATTTTATGTCGTATTTTTGAATTTTTCAAAGTTACTAGAAGTTACTGAATATTTCAACTTTGTTATTAATCTAAATAACAACATTGATAAAATAATAAATAATGATAACAATAAGCAATTATAGATAATAATGGCAATAATAATAAGTAATTACATAATAACGATAATACAGTAATGACAAGGTGTGTCGGTGCTTTAATGCCACCCGGAATCGGAAATTACTCGGGTTCAAAGCCAGCCAATCGAAATGTCATGTTTCGTTGAACCGAGAAAGAAAAAGATGGTGAATGGTTCATTGAGTTGTTGCTTACTTCGCAGTGCATGTGGCAAGGTACGTCCAACAGATATTCCTACAAATATCCCTACAAACATCCGGGTGGTGCTCCCCTATAGTTCTGTTGCAAGGTTACAGCAATCTCTGGCAATTTCTACAATGCTCCGAAAATGAAGCGAGCGTGACCAGCAACAGTAGGCGCTTTTAGAAAAAAAAAAAGATATCGCAGTAATGAAAATTAATGCTTATAAACACGAAAATCCGTGTGAGCATGGAGATTCAAAAAAAAGAATTCAATTTAGGGAATTCGTAACTATTTTTAACACAAACACTTATGAGACAATGAATTAAACGAGGGAGATTAGCGACAAAAAGAAAACTTTTTAATCGATATTGATAATGATAATACCGACGAGCGAATTTTTTTAACTCTTTCAAACATATTTTTTTTTAACCTTCAAAATTAGCATTAAAGAATTTTCATTACTCTAACTCTGATAAAATTTTTCATTAATGATAAGGATAATATTTCTGCAACAATTGGAAGAATAAAGGATAATTATGAGTTTAAAATTAATATATGAAAGCAAAAATATTATGAAAAAATTTGAAAATCTTCAATGTAATGCAATATATAATGTTTTATAGAATTAAATGTAATATATAATAAATGTAATATATAATAAATGTAAAATAATAACCATAGTGACGAAAATTTCAATGTCGATTATCAACTCATCAAAAATCTAATCATTTGCAAAATACCAGAAGAAAGATTTTTAAAAAAAATTCTTCAATTCAGGTCGCCAAATTATTGTTTCCAAAATTGGTCAAAGGACCAAAATCTTTATCCAAAATCTTTATATCACTCCATTTACTTCACATATAAATGTAAAATCCATTAATCCACAAAATCCTTTATGAAAAATATTTTCAATAATTATTCAGTTCAAATTTCATTATAGAAAAGTTCTTCCATTCTCATATGAAATCTATTATAAGCTTCTTCTTCATCTTCTAATAGTGCTGGTTTGGCCACTCCACTGGCAACGATGACAAAGCACTATCGAACCTCTCGATCTGATATCAATCCTAAAACAACTTCATTTTCTAGCTCTGCATTCAAGTTTCCACTGTCCGTGCCAGTTCATGCCTTATTTGACTCTCTTCGCTCTTGAAGCCATCTATCATAGGATAGCACATCTATCATTGTGTGGAATGTTAGAATAGTTATGGATTTTGTGGGCCAGAAGACAATCATCCATAAATATCCAAATATTATATGGATATCATTTCCCTATCTTCCTAATTCAGAGCAATAGCTGGTTCGATTATGAACGGTTCTAAAACCGCTTTAAGAGATCAAATGTTTTGAAATATCTTGGTCACTTATGCTTCCGCGTTTCGCGAGAACGATCTTGATAAGGATAGGTTCTATACCTGAACTTGCCAGCATCCCTCCCTAAAAACAAAATAATCTAGATCGCGCGTTATTTGAATGACGCGCATATGAGGATGCACCACCATTATCTTCTCTGGACGGTAAGTATACTTCAATTGTGGTAAATATTTCACATTAAAAGTAAAAATTTTTTTGCAAAAAAAATTTTCAAAACATTTGCACATACGATTTACTGGAGAACGTTTTTTTTCTACAATTATATAATTTAAAATTATTTCCAAAAAGTGCTAAAATGCTAAAATTTAACCAGTAACCGATAATACTAGACAACACCGATAATACCGGTAGTACGATAGAATACAGGCAATACTTGGCTCGCAACCTCTCATCATTCAGTAAATCACTTAAAAGTTCAGCACATCTCTAGTGTTCTATAGTACTAATAAGCTTGCTAGCTCATTTGTTAACCCCATCCTAAACAGGATAAAATTGCCTTACTTGAACATTTTAAAGAAACTTCACTAAATGCGGAAAGATATAAAGATATAATTAAAATAATTATATATTATAAAAATAATAATTAAAAAAGATATAATTCAATATGATCTCTAATCGACGTAGCACCGTCGAACAATTAATGATTGTATTCACAGTCTTATCTCCCTATTTGATTTTTTCCAACAGTGAATCGCATATGCTAATCATATTTTATTTACGAAATAAACGCTCTTAACCAGTTAAAAAAACAATAAAAGCGAAAAACAACAAATTCAGCAAGTAAATAACAGCATTTAACTACCAGTGAATTTTTTTCCTCCTACATAAAAAATGCAAAGTTTAACAATGAAAGATAAAAAACTTCATTAAAAATATATGATAGAAATGAATTTAAAAAAAATATAGTTATTAATCTCTGTCCCTAATTCTTGCCGATGAATATAGATTCGCTGATGTTGATTGATTGCGTCTGTTTGCGATATAATGCATTTCTGTGACTTCTGCTGACTGGCTTACCATTGCGCTGTGCGATATTTCGGTTGATTCGCGCAAATCATCTGCTACATAAAGCTGCAATTTGCCAGTTTACAAAAAGAAATGAAATCCGATAAATTTTAAACAATAAAAAAATTTTCCTCTAAAAAAAATTCTCAGAAGAGATTCATATTGGTAAAATTTTGGATGCACAAAGTACGGATATTTAACATGAAAATGGATGCAAATCAATTGGAACTTCGTTTAAACTATCCGCTTCAGTATCTTGAACGTTAGCAGCTTGTGGTGAAATGCTTCGTCTCGTTGCGAAAAAATGCGATATTAAAGGTATATGACCTGGAAAAAAATTAATTCAAACAGAAATCTCTGAACTGACTAGCTCTTTATAAATTTTCAAATTTCTCTGTTAAACGACATAATAAATGACATGAATGATTTTCAAATCTAAAAAAAAGAAAAAAATAACTGGATTTTGAAGAGACTGAGACTGACGTTGGCGTTGTCAATTTTTCGCCAGTTTCTGAAATTTAGGATTTATCTTAAGGTATATTAACAACTTATAGCGACTAAAAATTTTTGATACTCTACAGTTCAGTTCTGTTTTCACGGTTCAACCTTTCCTTATTCTAACTATTTTTTTTATATTTAAAAACTTGAAAATCTTGAAGAAAAATTCTATTAATAACATAAGATGAAGAGACTTTTAATATTTAGAAACATTTTTACGCTTGAAATCACTCTGACCATTTAATTAAGCATTAAATCACCACTTAAAATAAGAGAAAATATACCTGAAACAGTGTTTCCACTGCAGGACGATATCACCAGTTTAGGACCACGTTTTACAAAACCTCGAAAAAATTCCGAATTTCTAATAGCTGTGTATACATCATAATAACAAAGCGCACCGAGTACCACATAACTAATCGTTTCGCCAGCTCGCAATATCCTTCATTTAAATACAATTAAGTATATTGTATGAGATTTTCGAATATTTCTTCTCATAATGAAAGAACATAACTAATGAGCATAAAAAAATAAATATAATGAAGCTTGCATTGGATTTAAAATATTTTTCCCAACTAAAAATACTTTTTAGCAAAGAAACCATAAGATATTATAAAGTATGCAAGAAAACGAAGAACAACTTGCCTAAAAAAATTTATCCATAGAAATCAAACGGAGACTGAATACATAAGCATTCTTTTCGTGAGGTCATATGTTAAGAATACACCAAATAAGGCGAAATACAATAAAAAGACAAAAGATCAATCTGATAAACAAAAAAAAACGGACTTATCCAAGATTAAGGCTTTCCGAATAGATTTTTTTGCAACCAATATTTTATTGACAGCGTCAATGCGCGCTCGTAAACTATCATTTTCAATTAGCAGAAACAATTCATCCATCAACTAAACATCAAATTCATACCCATTTTCTATTTAATTAAATAAAATACTGAAATAAATAATGAAATATTCAATATATGCACAAAAACTTGAAACCTCTTGTGAAGATAAGCGAAAAACTGTAGACATTTTAACAATATCTGCTGCTTCGAATGGCAGAAAATATTGAATAATAGCTTGATGTCTTATCATTTTACAAAGTTCATTCATTCGTGGACCAAAAAATATATCCAATAATAATGGATATCGAATCTAAAAGTTCGGTACACAATTTAAATGTGTGTGAAGAAAAACAAAACTGTGATGTAAGAAACGTGAAAATTACTACAATAAAGCCGTTAGATTATTTGGAAAATTCAAAAATGCTACGATTAATGAAAAGGCAAAATATTTAAATATTTAAACTTATTCAAACTTTATAACTTTTTTTATGACATTAAACAATGCAAAAATATTACTTCCTCCAGTATATCGAAGAACGCTGCAAAATCGCTTTTGCAAAATTTCTGCAATAATTCGACAAGTTTTGGTTCTGATTCTAGAAATTTTCTAAAAGACTGGTTGGTAAGCACTCTTTTTTTAACTTCATTACGACTAAAAGTCGCCATTGAGCAAAAGGTGCCATAACAAGCTATATCTTTTGGTGACAGCAATTCAGGATAATGGAAATTTTCCAATTGTATCTGAAAATCATGGCATAAAACGTTTAAAATAACTAGTGCCATGGAATAATAGGCACAGGGATAATTTTCATTTTAGCTGCGGCGCAAGATTTCAGAATAAAACATGAAAAACAAAAAAATTACATTAAGATTTCAGCATAGAAAAGAGAAAAGAGTAAAGTCAAAAAAAAAGTTTAAATATTTATTCGACTTCACATAATTTCCCTTTCTAAGCATCCATCTTATTTAATATCTTACTGGACAATCGCTCAAATAATACACTTTTTGCACTGTTGCCAAATTTTCAACTCTCCATGCTAATAGTGAATATCGCATTACATCTCACATCTCACTGAACTACTGTGATTCCATCAACTGATTGGATAATCTCATTCACTAACCGGATCATTCACGAATATGCTCAATTCACACCACAGCCTTCGCCACTTACTAATAAATCAAAATAGCATGCTCTATAGCCATTTATCACTATAATGTCTGAATCATTATGTAATGTAATGTAATTAGTGAGAACTGTTGAAGGGCTAAGCTATATAACTTAAACATTTATAATTTTTCAACATAGATAAGCGTATGTTTTCAAAAGTTAAAAAAGATACAACCATTTCTACTAAAATCATTTTTAGACGGGAAGAATACCATCTCGCCTTCTCATCTGTGATAGACTACCAGTACTCAACAAATTGGGTAAAAAGAAAAACAGCAATTTTTACAAAACACATTGAATTTTCAACCTCGTCATATTTGTGCTATTTTTTTACTAAACTTTGACCTTAATTTGCTATTTTCTGAAGATCCATCAGTACAGTCTTAGTCTTAGTCAATATCTCTTTCCCATAGAAAGAATCATACTGGATTTACCAAAAAAAATTGAATAGTACAGCACGTTATATTAAAATAGAAAACGAAAAAAACATTTTTGTAAAATGATTTATTTCAGTCACTTCTTAACGATTTAGAGGAAGAAACAGGTGGCCTATTTCTAAATGCGATTAAACTATATATTACAAACGAAATATTACAAAATATTAATATTACAAACGAAAAGATGACCAAATATGAAAAAGCAATTTAATGTAATTAACCTGCAAGCAGCTTTCAGCACAACCTTTGTAATTCTTTGTTACAAGAGAATGTAGAGCAGAAACAGCAACGACTTTTGCCTTTGAATTTGCAATGAAATCTTTCATAACTTTACTCGCCACCAGAGCAGTGGTAGCTGTATAGCGACTGGCACGGCTGGCATTGGATACAGCTGATTCAGTTTCAGCAGACTCTGCTAAAAATCGTTATTATTGCATGAAACCAAATGAGGAACGACAATTTACAATTTATTGAGTTTTTATTACAAAAGCTAATAAACAAAAAACTTCTAAAAAATATTTGCTCATTGGTATCGCTGATTTGAAAAATAATAGTACTAACTGATCGCCCGCTGAAGTTGCGCTAGAATACTTTCAACTTTCATCCATTCTCCCAAATAAATAGCCATTTCTATCCAAGTGAACAACATCTTGAATAAGATATGAAGAAACATATATAAGTACTATTCTGCACTATTTATTAAAGAAGAAATAAGAAATAATACTGCACAGAACTATTAAAATTATATAGACCATCCTTAAATTAAACATAATACCAATGCGCAAAACAACGCACAACATACAAAAAAACTCAGAAATAATAAATTAGGTTCATGCAGCATTGTTGAAAAGCTTTATACAGATTGTATTCTTGATTGTTCCTGATTCCAAAAAATTATCATGTTATTCAAGCTGCACAAAGTAAGCACCAATGCACTTGAACAAAAAAAGATATGATTTTCATTAAAACTTAAATCAGATTGTCACTGTCAAATTTAAAGAACGCCTTCAAATCCTGAGTTATCGTCATGCCATCCTTTCCAATTTTATAACTTTTAGCAACTGCAAATATAAGAGGTTCGATGGAACTAAGAGAATATGACGCAGAGGACACGATGGACGGTATTGTTTAATTGTTATACGAGAATATATTTAATTATTACACAAGAATGTATCATAACTTCTTAATATTAAGAAATTATCTGCCTTTGACCACTCTTGTCGAAGGATCCGAATCCGTCAAGCGGACAAGATATCATATGATCGCATCCACCTTCAAATACCACTTGCATTAATATTGTTATCCAAAGTGTCGCCTTCGCTGGTTAGGGCACGTTCTCCGCCTTCGCTGGTTAGGGCACGTTCACCACAGGAGTTGACGCATATTTCGTCACTGATATATGTGTGATGGTTGGCGTCAAAAGCGAGATGGACCAATCAAAACCTGGACTGACACGGTCAGAAAAGAGACCAGCAATATATGGATTTAGACGATGGAAAAAGGAATAGCTTCTATTACTATCAACGATATCATCAGACTGCACCGCTTGGAAGCGTCTTCCCTTTGTAGCCATTGGAGCCAGCCTAACCAGTAATGATGAGAGCTGTTAGAAGAAGAACAAGCAGATATCAACACACTGATATTATTGTTTAGATTCTGAGGGTTGTTTGAACGAGTTTTTCCACTGAAAATCAACTTGTACACAAACTAAATGATACGAAAAGTCCTTGCATTTTGAGTGGAGTAGTATTAGGGCTCAATATTTTTATTGTTATATACCTTCTGACGACTCACCATATTATTGCAGATTTGCGTTTCCCATATAAAATAAATCTATATGTTTTCGTTTAATAAATTTGACATGGAACGGCTTGACTTTCTATATCTAGCATTTTATGAATTCAACAACAACATCGAGCGACGAAGGCAATTTTCAATATCCAAATAGCTTTTGACGATGATGCGAGCAGAGAAAGAAGAGAGTTAAAATATATATATATATATCAGCGAAGTTTCAGGTCCGGTGAGAGACAGCTCAAACATGCTCCACATATCCAGCAATCCTCAAGTTCAAACTCTATGATCTGTATAGTATGACATATGATTTTTGACGAAGGATATCTAAAAAGTTCCTTTGCAAATTTCTAGGGAACGCATACCCTTGTACCTTATATATCATTTATAAAGTCATCGTTCGATTTCTAATGGGAATAAACCTGCTACTGTGAAAATGAAAGGATAAAGATAAATCAGTCTTTCCTCTCCTATCCTCTTGACTAGCTGGTGAAATCTTATTACTCTTAACAGCCAAAGAAGCCAACTAGAAATGGTGAGAGCTCTTATATGATGATAACTGTTGATAACTGATCAACAGCAACTAGAACCGACCAGGAAATCGTGGTGAGTGAAAAAATATTTTGGAAATGGAAATCGTCCCTCACCCAGCATAGAGTTCTCTTTCTCCTTTTAAACCTTTCACCTCTATTCTCTTGAAAATTTTGTCAAGGCGAAACATTTTACAAAAAACCTTAAAATAAATTCTAGTTTATTGATTCAAGAAGTAAGGATTTTTAAGAGGACGAAATAAATACAAATATATTTATACCACGTAATCAAATGTGTTAGTGTTGAATATAACTGTGCTTACTTTGGATAAAAATGATTTTCAACAGTCTAATGGCTTTTCAGTTTCATACAACCTAACACAAATATACCTGAACAACTTGTTTTGGTGAGGTGCAATATTCTCTCATTCCGCCACCAACTATCTTTATAGCACCTGACAAATTTCCCATCGAAATCATATGGTGAGTAAGATCTTCCATTGCACGACGAGTTGATTCCTGCAATAAAACAAAGAACAATCAATTCCACCCGAAACATAGAAGGCCTACTGATGAGACTTACAGAAACCTTAATTTCATTATATTCAATAAACCAGTAAGTGAAATTTTTTAGAAAAAACAGCGAATACTCGGTATGAAAGAGAAACAAAAAATTAAATATAAAAAAGATGAAAATTACCATTTAGTGGTACTAGACACTAACCTTGATTCCTTCTTCCTGTTGTTTCTTATATTCATTTCGATACTGTTCTAAAGTTGCATTATTTTCAATTATAGCAGTTTCTGCCCACTGCTCTTCAGGAAGTTTTGTGGGCCTACTAGCTTCTAAGCTGGATCTTTCAATGTTTGCTGGTTGAGATGATAAAAAAATATGCATATTTTTTCGTAAAAGTGATAAATATAGCTTAGCATTCAGTGTATTCTGAAAATCTTTTGTTTTTTTTTTGCTTTGAGTAATTTCACCCTATACAATAAATAAAGAAAAAAGCTTCGGATAGGTTGTACATAGAACTAAACTCGCTAAATTAACCGATCTTTCTTAAAAAGTTTTTCACACATATGCATACACAGTTAAACTTATCCAAATGTCTTATAAAATGAAGAATTATAAAGGCATTGAAAAATTTCAAAATTGACAAGAAAATAAAAGTATAATTATATCTAAGAATAGAGAATAATTTCGATAACTTAAATTAGACCAACCTCAGCAAGGTGTTTAAGGAGCAATGTTAAAGCTTCTTTCTTTACAGCAGGACAATGTTTCATTATATGAAGCAATCGCACCGTCAAAGCATGACCTGAAGATGCTTTCGGAAATGATTTCGGCTAAGCACTCATGTCTTTTAAGTCTTTTATTAAGAGAAAAAACCTGTATAGTAGAAAGCAATTGCATCTAGATCTAAATCACTTGGGACAAAATCAATTAATATTTCTTCTGTTGCTTGCACTGGTTCTACATAATCATTATCTGCCGATGTACCTGCAAAACTTACAATCCAAAAAGTATGAAAAAAAATCTTAAACAAATACATAACTTGTAACACGGCTCCAGCCAGTTTCATATAAAAACGATGTAAATATTAATACACTTCCAAGACTCTTAAAGAAAAACAAAAAGTACCGCCGTTGTTGCACGATGGAAATGCCTTCACTCTGTCACTGCATACAGTCACATCTTCATCCATTTCATTCGCGTTTGGCATTTCAGATTCATGATCGAAATTAGCATCTGCTTCATCAATAACTGCATCCATAACGTCATCTGGATCGGGCACAGACATCGTTGAGCGCTTTTTTCTTTCTTTCCGTCCCTTTAAAACTTCAACTTATAAATTTTGACGCCGTGTAAAGAGAACTGCACAACGTGATAGCTCGCTGGATCGAATCACTGATGGATCGAAATGAAGCGAGTTGTGATCATTTAATCCACACCACCTCTTCTCCTACAGTTCTTTGACGCGTGAGAGTCTTCGACGATCGTGCAGAAAGACCTGCGAGATCTGTCAAAAATATTTCGCAGCGATATTACGAAAGTTATGCCATCTGCGTTGACCTCTCTAACACATATTTTCGAATAAATAATTAATTAGTTTGTCCTTAAATTCGCGAAGATTTCGAAAAACTTTAAATTTTAAACCAAATCAATTGAATAAAGAATAAAATTTAATAAATGACAAAGTAATAAAAAAAAAATTTAACCAATTTTTGCAAACAACAAAAAGACGAACAAAAAGCCGCAATTGATGCGACACTCCTAATCTGCAGCCTCCGTTTAGTACACCTCCTACAATTTAGCGGAAAGGAATCAACGCTAAAGAAACGGGGCTATTGAGAAATCGGTAACATAATTGAGCCTCGGCATTTTGGCGTTTATCTGCTTCCTATCCAGAAAGCATATGTTGCGAACGAGAAGAAGCAACGGACATTACTACAACGCAGCCTCTGCAATGCTCACTTTTTCAGTACTTCATTTCGCTTCTTCGCTTCGTCAAGTAGTTTTGGTGATGTGCGTCTATTTTTCGAGCTTCGAAGGCTGGGAGGGTTGTAGGCAGAGTCTGTACATCGCTTGGGGACAATGGCGATATCTGGTATTGGCTTGTCTAAGTGATAAAGATTATGTATTTCAGCATAAAATCAACTATACGAATATCTGCCCTGAGGAATGTTCTGAAAATTAGAGTTACATAAGTGAGGAGTGTTGGATTCCGAAGTCATGGGTGAGGCTGATTTTTTAAGAGGCTTTTTGGTTAAAAATTTGTTTTATTGTAATCTAAAACATAGCGAGTCGTGGAGGTTGCGTTTTTGAATTGCACACTAAAAACACATTTTAACATTTCTTCAACTAATAATTTTCTTTTTTTCTTATTTACATTTTTTGTTTAGAAGAATTTTAGCTGTTTCTTCCACAATATTTCAAAGTAGAATAATAGTCGACAATTTTTAATTCTGTTGGATTTATCAGAAAAATTTTTTTATATATTTTCATATCACATTTATTAATTATTGTATTTCAACAGGAGTTAACAGTTTGCAATGAAAAGAATATAATTTCTTTCTCTTCTGACATCGCTCACCATATCGCTTATCAGATTTCGCTGGCTGCATTGACTGTTGGAATGCGATCTTTTGCCATAGACACGTGAAGATATGCAGACAAATTCCTAGCACCACTTGGACGTCAATTTTTGCGACAGCTTTACAGCTGTCAAGAGGGAGGTTCAATCCAATACCATTTATTTATCATATATCATTAATGATTCACAAATTAAAAATCATGCTCAAGCGGGGATATAATTGATTTGCGCAAGCAAGCAAGGCAACAAGCGCTTGTATTTATAACAACAAAAGGAGAAATTAATGAGCGGTATATGATACAAAAGGACCAAAAGCTAATAATGCGAAGAGAAACAATGCAGTAAAGGGGAATTACAAAATAACTCGAATCGAACTGAATGTGTTATTGACACACAACCAAAAGATAGAAGATTTCAGACTAACTTCATAATATGAACCTTTCAGTAATACATGGATGATATTATCTAATCGTTTTTTGAAAATAGGCTGCCAAATGATGCACAATATGCATCATTTGGCAGCCTATTCCAGTAATCAGTGGTGCGAATTAAAAGGCGTTTAGACGTTTTTGCTCTTACTAATCTTGTTGCGCTGAAATTTAACCTAAAATTATAGTATTTTGAACGATCTAATTTGATATAAACATATAGAATTTGAATAAATTAAATCTTTCTTAATTCTACGAATTAGGTATGAGTCTAGATTGTAAAGTTGAAGTTGTGCTTTATAATTGAGATTGCTGTTGCATTGTACTCAAGAATAGGCCGAGTAAGCGCTTTGTACATTTTGATAAGAAAGCTTTGATCTTAAACGATCGAAAAATAAAATTTATTATTCTCGAGCACTTCTTTCACTATGGTTCTGCAGTCGAAATCAAGATTTTCATCCACGATCATCTAAGATCTGAGATATTTGAGACTGGTTTAACAATGTTATCATTAATAAAGGGATTAGAAGATCAGACTCTTGAATTTGTATGTAATACGGTTAATACGGTATACTTTTGAATGGAAAGGGTGATTTGCCTGTCATTAAAATTATATTAGGAGACAAGTTTTGTGATCTATCATAAGAACAATAAATTTTACAGTTATCACCATAAAGATAAATGGTAGAATTCGATACAACGTTGGTGATATCATTAATATATAATAAGAAAAACGATACATTGAGGAACGCTTGATTTGATTGGAGCCAAAGAGTTACGAGTAGCTTGGTATCGATCTTTTAAATAATCTGATATCCAGTTTGCCTGTAATGCTATAACGATTGGTGGTGGTCAACAACCACCGTGGGAAGTGCTTTGGATAGATCTAAATAGACAACTGATTTTATTTCCCCATTATCAACTGATGCTGACAAATTTGCCAATATTTGTGAGGAAGTGAATTTTCAAAAGCCATGCTGATAGAAGGATGTTAAATTGTTGGTATCAAGATAGCTAAGCAGCTTATTGCAAATCAGCATTCTACTTACCAACGCATATCAGGTTAATAGGTCTGTAATTGAAGGATCATAGATTTCCTTTTTTTAACTGGGAATTATACTGGAAATTAAGTGGGGACAATTTCCAACTTCTTGGATTTAGGCCATTCCTGACAGAGTTGAAAAGAAACAGAGGAAGGCTTAAGGAGGCTGCGCATTTTTAATGAAATATTGGTGGAATATTATCGCGACCAGCTGAAATGGATGATTTAAATATTACCTACCGTCAACAAACAAAAACAAAAAAACAAATCCAGAAAAATACTTGCAACATCAATATCGGAAGTGGTCATATCATCATTGCGCTGCAGAATCGTTTTTTTTGTGGGCATGCAAATTTTTTTAAAATTTAGTCCTTAAATGTAACGTAGAATTCCAAAAAGAATCCCTGCTGGTATTTAAGGTTGCTCTTCTTTATTTGAAAAAGTATTTATGAACACTATTTTTTCAGTCATTCTTTATGTGCAGAGAGATCACATGGTAATTTGGTTAATTTATGCCTATTATAAACGTTCTTTTCAATTTTTTCTTAGAGATTTTAACGTAAGAGGAACAGACTCACCGCAATTTTTTTCAAAGCGCTGTAACGCTGTGTGAAGCATAGTACGGTGGGATTTAGTTAGACAAGACGAGTAATCACAGCTACGGTAATTTCTAGTAAAACTAATAGGAAGTAAGGAGTGATTCAGTTTCAGTGAGGCATGAATGATATTGTAAGACATGATTATTGCTACAAGAAAGTTCATAGAAGAAGGGACTATCGAATTAACTATCGACGAAAGAAGAAGAGGAGGAGGCCAGTGCTGTGCCTAGTTGTAAAGACTTGTATAGACTTGTACCTGGTGGCGATCTCAAGATGCTGCTCTAAACCAGTGTAAATTCAAAAGTTTATAAAATCTCCCTCAAATTTGCTGTTGTTTTTCATATAATTATTATTTTCCCAGTATCGCAAGCAAATGTTTTGAATAATACGTTGTAAAGATCAATGATGAAATTAACTCCATAGCCTGGTTGATAATGTAGATTTAAGAGAAAAATATTCCTATTAACGAGATAAATTTTAGTTATTAAAGGTTCAAAAGAGGAGGAAATTTAATCATCAATAATAATAATTATAATAATTTGAAATAAGCATAATAAGCTCATATCCACGTTATTCAAACCATCTGCTATTCGGTTTAGTTCATAGAATCATTCAGTCACGACGTGCGTTGTGTCATAACCCGATGGTTCATGCGATAAATATGCGAGCTGGCCTCGAATTTAGTAGTAATATTATTGAAGATTGCTATGTAAGCTCACGCTGAGAGAAGTTTGGTTCACTTAAGGAAGTCGAGTAAATTTTAGCCGGTTTTCGTACACGTGGCGAAGTCCAAACCCATTGTTAAAGTAGATTAATAATATTTGAAAGCAGTGGGATTTTGCTCGCCTGCCACGCATTAATATTTTAGAATAATCTTAATTCGGTTGCTTTATCAGGACAGTAGAATAAACACTGATCACCGCACGAATTAATAAAACTTTATTCACCATTTTAAACTTGGGTAATTAAAACGATTGATATGTAGACAGAGAAAATAAGATTCGATTAAATCAAAAAGACTAAGAAGATAAAACTATCCCAAAAAAAACAAATAGAAAACAATTAAACAATAATTAAACAATATAAAGGATGTAAGGAATATTAAATACTAAAGTATTGAATATTGAAGTTGGCACTCAACCGGGATGGCACCAAAATGAGGGAAGAAAAATAATTTCTCTGAGAAGAGTATACAATATATACTATAAATTGACCTTTACCTTTTATTGACATACGTGAAGGCAAAGAATTATTAAGTTAATGAAAGGCTTCATTTGGTGGATCGGGGTCATCAGTTTGAAATAATGAATTTTAAATAATAGAAAATATCTCATTTCGCGACACCAATGAAATTTTTATGGATATAGGGAGTCGGGCGATAGCTGCATACATTTTATCCAAATATCATGCGACCTATCCCTTTAACCTCCTAATTTTGGGTCCAGAGGAGTAAATATCTGGTTCCTGTTTCGGATAACTCAAAGTAAAATAGAAATCGCCATTTCAGAAATGGTACGATCGATTCCAATCCTGTGGAATCCTGATCCTATTCCTGATTGGTTGACACATATCCTGTTTAAGGCAGGTTTTGCAACATTTCGGTTGTTTATGCTCCGAGTGCACTATGCTTAACTGAACTGTGCTTAACCTGTGAGGCTGTGCCTTATCTTTTTTGGATATGGCGTTAGGACCAGGTCTACCAGTGGAGAATGTCTTCCTTGCTTTGCTGAGTAGTATGGACTTTTTTGTCATCAATATAATGCTATCAGTATTACAGAAAACATCTAATTACATGGAACTCGTCAGATTTCGAATATTTTTATCAAATTGATTTTACTATATTCAATCTTCAATAGAAGAATTTTGCACTAGATAGCCGCATATATCGCAGAATCGAAATTGACACTCTTAAAGGGTCATAAGAGCAATCTGAATGAAACGAACAATGCGCAAAACAGTGTTCTCTCAAAAATCTTTTGATTATCTCAAGTTGAAAGATTCGAGAGTAGTTGGCCTGAGGTGTTAACCTAAAGGATTTTAACCACAGTAGTACCCTGGGGACTCGCGATGGGTAGGGACTCCAACTGAAGTCTTGCCTCCAGAAGTCGGCCAAATTCGTCTTAGGGTACATGAAGAAGGCAAGCTAGATCTCGTCTTAACGAGATGAGACAAAAATCGTTGCTGCAGCGATATGACTTTGACTATGAAAATAGCAGCTCGAGTAAGCGATCATCGAAAATTATTGCACAGTTACCAGAATTTGAGAAATGATCAGCGAAATGATCCGAGATAAAAATGAAAATCTCGATAAAGTCATCAAAGATTCGTTTCACGCATGGAGAGAGTTTTTTAATTCTAAATTTAACTATGAGGAGGCATCCAATGTCCCGGACTATGACGCATTTAGAGTTGAACGATTGCAATTGCAAACCACTAGCCGAGCAGAAAATAATCTATATAGTTCACAAGGAGATAGAATGGTTCAGTGGCTTGCTCGATTGGGAGCGCCGATGCTGAGGCTCGATTCCCCGCAGTACAAACCTGTACAAAAATCAGGGTGATGTTGGCGACTCATCTGTATTTATATCGCCAAGAGACTCCCTGGCATATTACCCAATGCGACAAGCCAGTGGAGCGAATTTAACCACTAATGGTGAGGACTCTTAAAAAAAAAAGTTCACATGCTTAAGGTCAACAAAACTCTTTTGAGATGGCCTAAGAGCTGAAATCTTCAATGCTGAAATGTAGAGCTTCAAGGGTCGACAACATATTACTTTATCAGACACCGCTTGTCGATGTTCAAGGGTTTACAAATCAATCCAGATTGTACAGATTCTATGCCGATAGCAGTGCTCAAAACTGGTCTTCAAATCACTGTAAACGAATGAATGAATGGACTATTTTCGCCTTATATACCAAGATAAGATCACAATTTTCATAAATTTATCAATGAAAAATTGTCAGACAAACTTTAAATTCTCCGACCCATTCTCATACCTGATGGCTTACTATAAGCAAATGATGAAGTTCCAACTAGGATTATCGGGCATGGCTATAGCCTGCCTTCTTTCGTCTGGCGAAACCACTTTAAATTTACGGCGAAATTAGCTTTAAAATGAAAATCGTCTCTATCTGGCTTAAATACGTATAATACTACTACCTGACTGAGTAACTTGGCTGATGAGACTGGAGGACGTCAAGAAAATATCTACTTTGACCATTCTGTGCATCATATATAAAGTCCAAAGTCTCGCATGACTGCATCCACTTTTGCTCTCATATTGCATTGAAATACTGAATATAAAGCATACCGCGCTTGACGTGTTCTTCTGTCCAGCGATAAATACATATTTCGCTACTTACTTACTAAGCCCTGTGATGAATAGTGAAATTAAAACTATCGCTACGGTGAGTAAAGATTCTGAGCGCATAGGATGTCCAACGGGACACATGGGCTTGAAAAAGGAATCGCTTCATTTGAAAAATAAAATGATATCGGATCGGAAGACTCGGAAATACTTTAACTTTACTCGCCTATAGAGCAAACCAAATTAGGAATTGTGCGACCAAATAGAGGTAATATTGCACAACAAATATTTGATTTATATGGTATAGTATATGGAATATTGTACGGAAAAAATACTGGTTATATGAGTATTATAGTTGTAAATTTTACAAGGAACTGCCATTATTATAGTTCGTCTTTATAGCTTTTGAATTCGTTTTGAAAAAAATTTATTAAGAAATACAATCTCTAATTAGTCACTAAAAAAGTAAAAGATGAAAAGAAATTAAATAACTAAAATAGAAATAATGTTAATGTTAACAATGGAAGTAAAGCCAAATATTGCGATAGATATGTACAGAGTGCTTTGGAATCTTGTCAGTAAATTTATAACTTTAAGAAACTACAGCTTTTATTATATAACGGTAATTTTTAATCTACGTAAAATAAGTTGTATTCTCTTTTTAGAATCAACAAGTCCAAGTGGAATCTTAAATATCATAAGCAAATGCAGTCATCTTCAACTTGCCTTACTAAAGTGAATTTATAATATCAAATCTTAAAATAAAAAAATTTTTTTTTCGTTTATGGAACCAATACAATAAAAAAAGATGAAATAAAACAGAAATCGACTTATTCACGTAAATCAAAAAAATTTAAAATAAAAATAAATGGTTATAAATGTGAATTAATGTTAAATCAAAGGCCAACAACACTTTGCGGCTAATTTCTAAAGTTAATGTAAAGAAATGTTTTCAATATTTCAACGACGAAGCACAATCACAACAGCTCGCTAATTTCTTTCGACGTAACAGAATGACCTAAAACAAAGCTTGTAAAGATCCACTTTCTTTTTATCGTAAGGAAGCTTAAGAAAATCCGTATCCATTAACCTTTAACCTATAAAGATTGGGTCTTCCAAGAGATTTTTTTATAAATCAGTGGGATGAAATTTAATAATTAAATTTGTCATGTTTTTTAAAAGAATGTTTAGCGCAGTATAATCCCATCAATTTAATTTTTAAAAATAGTTTTACCAGAAATTGCAAATTATTTAAAAGAAACTTGCATTTCGTTCATGGCGATGGATCATATAATGTTCCCATCCATGACCTTCTATTATGATGCCAAGCGAACGCCATTCATTTTCCTCCATCAGCCTATCTCTCGGGACATGTATGAGTAGTCTTGGCGTTCTTAGTATTGCATGCCTGTAATTAAAAAATTTAATGGAGAGGAAAATATACTGTAATTTCATCTAGAAATGTTGTTGATTCGATTCATTCACCAATGATAAACATGGAAAACCTAAATTTTTTCCAAAACGTTTAAAAATTTGATATAAATGCAAATGCAAAAGCTTAAATTAAATTAAGTTTGTACAGCTTGGGTCCTTATCAATCAATCAAATAGTCCAGTGGATCCAGCTGACAAAAAATCCATAGAATTGTCTGGAAAATGAAGAAAAGCGGCAATAAGCTTACACACCTATATTCATAATCATCATCTTCATATTGTTCCGAATAGGATATTTCATTAATTGGTGTGTAATCCATTTCGCCTAAAAAATTTCGGATAGTTGTTAGAGGAATTTTTTAGTTTGACCTTTCACTTTGTCTTTGACTTTCGTCATCAGTTAATCAACTGAATTTAAATAGAACAAAAAGCAATTTTTACATCTCCTCTTTTCACAACTTAAAATAATTTAAGTTAATTTAAAGGAAAAGGAAAATCCACTTTGAAAATTTTCTTTTACTTTTCGCACGAAAATCAATCAAATTTATTCCTTTGAAAATATGAAAATTTAAAAAAGAAATTCAAAGAAATTAAAAATTTCTTTAACTTTAATTTTAAATTAACTCTAAAAATTCCCCTTTATATGGAATTTTCAAATTGATAAATTAAATATAACAAATCGCAAACGCTCGCAGCTCAATCGATCACAGTTCTCTTCTCTGCTTTAATATTCCCAATATGGCGGCTATAAACTCACCGACTGCTAGTATGAGTCCTTTCGTTAGCAAACCGACTAAGGGATGGAGGTACGAGTGGAGCCCTCAGCGACCGCCAAGTTTCGCTTTTAAAGGCAAGTTTATCGGTAGCAAAAGCTACAGGTCGGATCCATGGTAGACGCAAGCGCAGAAAATAAAGGTGCAATAGTATTGTTAGATTGATTATATACATTAATCTAAGCCAATTAAAGAAATGATGTGGACCAGAGATCTTTTAATAAAAGGAAATGATAGGCACAACCACAGAGCGTATATTTATATTTCTAATGATCGCCCAGCACGAATTTACCGGAAAAGTTAGAATGCCAGGCCAACCAAGGATTTAAAAAAACAAACAAACCACATTTTCTAGGAAAAAGCGGATCAGTGCGTTTTGGTCTCGAAGCGATAATGTGATTACCGTAGAATTCGGTTACTGTTGTATTTAAATTTTCGTGAAATTGGGCTAACTGTTTGACACTTAAAATTGATTTTGGTTTCTATTAGTTATCTTAGAAATAAACAATTATAATTCGAAGTATCGGGGAATATCTCAAGGTTTTATTAAATTTCATCGCTCGTTGACCATCAAAATTACTCGTTTAATTCGGTCTTTTCAGTGAAAAGATTCTAATTTTCTGATTGAAATGAAAGGAGATTCCGATAATAATTCATTTGATTATGAAAACTTATAAAATTCGCATTTATGCTATTTAAATTGCTCGCATTCACGTTGCAATAACGGCTTATAACAGAACAGAATATCTCCGTGTAAGTCACTGATAAAGACTGATAACACTAATTCTTAACACTTACCAAAAGGGTAACAAAGCATAAAAATGGCGCATGGCTCGAGCCAACATCAAGTGAAGCGAATGAAGTTATGTGTCTGAGTGAAGAGGAGGAGGGGAGCGGGGGGGGGGGGGGGGGGGGGGGGGGGGGGGGGGGGGGGGGGGGGGGGGAGGCGACAAACAATGCAATTAACATGGTGTATATATACATATATCTATATATATATACTATATTAAGTTTTACTAAAGTTTCACTTCTAATTCAAGTTTTTTTTTAATGTTTAATAAAGGGGAATGGAGGATCGAAATTCCCTTCAGAATGACCTGAATAATATGACTGAGTGGTTGCACCAAAAGCAGGTCAGGTTGTCTTTTGAAATCAGGTTAAATTCAAAGTTTTGATTAGGGCAAAGTGTAAAGTGTTAACATTATTGATAAACACTCAGGTCTTCCAGTTTTCGCAGATAACTTTATTCTGACTGGACTGCGCCATTTTTTATTTTTCACGTCTCATTGATTTTTCAGATTGCTTTTTTAGTTTAAGCACTTGAATTTAGGCTAGGCCCACTTCAGAGAGAAGCTTGTCTATTTATTTGCAAAAAAAATCAAGCAGAATGCAGCCGTATGCTTGGGTTAATGACAATAACGTAAAATGGGCAATACAATGTTAAGAAGAGTTTTATAACAACATAGTTTGGTAGAAATGGAAGAAGCAAAAAAAGTATGAATGAAATTAAAGAATAGAAAAAGACAATATTATTGTAAAAATTAATGAATTAAATTATGCAATAATTTCATAATTTCATTTTGCAGCAGAATATTTGTTGCTCAGATTGTCGCCTGGAGCATCAGTTCCGGTTTCCAGGTAAACTATCGCTAAATGGTCCCCTATTAAAAATATTTGTTTATTTTTTACCAATATTAACGTAATTGTTTATGGTTTTTAGGTTAAAAATTCGTACAGTCTTCTTAAAATTACAAAGCCGAATGTTATAATGAAATTTAATTAACCAGTGAAATCAGTGAGGTATCAGTGAACAGTGGTGAACTGTTTGTTGCGGAAGGTTTGTGATGGAAATATTAAATCTTTTTTTTTGTCATTTTTTACAATCAGTTTTTTGTTTTGACTTGTTCAGAACGTGGAAATACCCCAGCTTCTTAAGAAAATGAAATTATTTCCAAATATATTGTTGAAATTTCAGCTAGTATTTATACATCTTTGTGATATAGCTTTTTTGCATTAATTTGTGAGGCAGAATAGCTGATGGTTGTTGCTCAAATTGTTTCCAGCTTCAGAGCCAATCTTCGAGTAAACTTGCTGAGACAAAAAAAGATATCGACCGCTTACCTCGATGAATGGTTCTATGGTTTAAATTTCCTATCGTATTAACAACCACTTTGAGCCAACATCACTGGAAATGATGGGCACTAACCACTTACTCGCTTGTTTGCTTGGTTAATAATTTAATAATTTATATAGCTTTATAAATTTTTTTGATTTTGAACATTTTTGAGAGAGATAAACAATTAATAAAGAACGGCATAAGATGGATATTGCTCTATGCGTATGCCACAGTTGTCCAGAAATTAGCGGCTTACTTTAATATTTCAGGTTTTAAATAATGAGCTATAGATGATAATGTAAGCTATTAAGTACATATTGTTTAGAAAAATCATAAGTGTAAAAAGAATATTCAGTGATTATGACAAGTTCGGTTGGCTAAAGGTAACTAAAAAACTACTAAAATTTGATTAGCTGATTAATAAAAATTTTAATTAAGATTTAAAATTGATTTAAAATTTAAAATTAATTTTAATTGAAAATTTTAATGGATGGTCAATGGATTAAAAATTGCGCCAGTTTTTCCTTTGATCTTCTATAATTTTTCAAAAATTATTGCAGATTTTTAACTTTCAATACAACCGTTTACTTCTTTGCAAAATGCAGAATCCTTCATTGATCGCAGAGTTAGTTTTTATGGATTGGAATTAATCGTTTTTAATCAACAAATTAAGGGATTTTGAGGATAATTTTTGATTGGAGACTCCAGAATATTTGGAATATATGGTGATTAACATGAATCGAATTGATTGGCAAATTTTGTCGATATATTTTTCATCTTTGAGGAAAAAGATTTGAATCACTTTACTATTTTAGATCAAAACATCTGACATGCTTTTACTGAATGGCCGTCTCGAAATTAATAGAAATAGCATATTTCTATTAGAAATTATTTCTTAAAAAAATTAGTGAATTTGTTTTAATCATTCATAATCTAATGCTGCAAATTCTGATTTCCTTAATAGCAAACTAATTATATAATAGGCTGGCTCGATATACACCGCTTAATAATGTCTATTCGGCAAGAATGAGCCATTATATTAGCTTTTGCTTGACTCAGCGAGTTTTTGGTAATTATTTTGCTCACAAAGTCTGCAACGAAGCCATTAACATCCTTCATCAGGTTTGTTTTTTATATTTTCTTAATCGAAATGTTTTTGCTTTCTCATTTACTTTTTAAATTGCTCATGCATTTAAACGACTGATTTCGAATTCTATCCTTAAACTCTCTAATCTTGTACCATTGTATGGTTTAAATAATATTGCTTCCCAAAAATTTGTACAGATTTACTTTTACAATTTACTTTTACTTAGAATTCACTTTTTTCTCAAGTGAAGAATTTTTAAAATTTTATTCAATGCTTTGAATTTCTATAGAATTAATTCGAGATAAATTATTAGATATTAGCCTTTAAATTATCTTTTAATATTTTATTGCCAATTTCTTTCGTTACACAATTGATGACTAGTTGATGACTAGCATCCTATTAAAACATGAAAAATTTTTGTTATTAGGGGAAATTATTTACTATTTATTCAGGAATTTGTTGAATCAAAGGAGCAGTTAAAAATTTTGATAGACAAGGCGTCAGTTCGGGAAGTCGTTTCTAGCTTCAATGTTCTTTATGGTTTTTTTGTGCATCGTGCAGGTATTTTTGTAAATACAATATATTTTACTAAGAAGTAATATGTTTTGATCAACTGTTTCTAATTTATCGTGTAAATTAATTGTAAAATGAAGACATATTTTTTCATATTTCAATGATTAATTTTCTTATTTATTGCACCAGATTTCATTAAGTTGACCACAAATTTCATTTCGATTAAGAAAATATAAAAAACAAACCTGATGAAGGATGTTAATGGCTTTGTTGTAGACTTTGTGAGTAAAATGATTACCAAATAATTACGGTTCTATGTATTAACTCATACGAGTGAGAAATAGGAATATTTTATCTGATCTGGCTATATTCAAATATATTATTTTTATGCTCGGAGGGTCCAATATATGTGGTCTCCTTACTTCTCTATTTTCTTGCCAAATGTACATGAATTTTGTTGTATAAATAAGTTGTTCAATTATCTAGAAAAATGGGCATTGCTTGAAAATCGGTATTTTAATTTCGGCTTATGTTGGATTTATTTCTGAAGACTGATTAGATTGTAAACTGATTGTATTATATTGTATAGATGTTTTTTTATCAACTCTCACTTATCAATTGCCTTTACTCTCTTTTTTTAAGTGTAATCAAAGAGTAACTAATTGGTTGAATGTAATGAAAAATTTCTAGAAATTTTGCCTCAGCCTGGCGATTATCAAGAAAGCGAAGCAGTTGAGAAAATGTATCTTGAGTTAGAGAAATTATCTGCAGAATTAATGAGTCAGGAAGCCAAGCAATCCTTAAAGGAGTCTTTGAACACGCTCACAACACGTTGGTTTTTTCGCAATTTAAACATTGCCAATACAAAAAAGTGCTAACATTACGATAAATTTTTTAGCTGAGAAAGAAGCAATGTTTGGACGTGGCCGTCAAGTATGTGCTAAAATTTCCAAAGCAATATTAGACAAAATAATTGAGGTTTGGTTATTATCTCATCATCGTTTTTTAAAATAATTTGCAACGCTAGCATCTGTAACCCAAGAAAAGCTCACCGAAATTGGTCAGATTTTAATTTCAAAATTCTTCCCAGCCCCATTAATTATGATTTTACTCCTTAATCCGGTTATTTACCACTAGAGCTCAGTTCTCCAAGGTACCACTTTATCTTATCCATCACTAATGCTCTTTTGGATTCGTAATTCTTTCAAATCATGCCTTAATACCTTTCTCGTTATCCTTTAGGCTGTATAAAATCTATGTTGTCTAACGTCATGAATAACATTGCTTTATATCTTGACAAATTGTTCAGTGCTTGTGACCCTTTGTACCCTTTAACATACTTTCGTACACGCTATTGAGCAGCACTGAATTTTTTTTGGTAATATGACTTCCTTAAATTGTTTTGCTATTATAATATATATTAATTCCGTTGGGTTTTCATATTAACCCCTCTGTGGCAACTTAATATGTGGTACCAAATAATCAAATTTTGTATTTAAATTTGTCATCCAACTTATTAACAACTCGTCATATTGTTTTCAAAACTTTTGCTCTCGCTTTTGAAGCTCTTTGATCTCTTAAAACCCTGTTAATATTCCTTTGATATTCTCGGATTTGATTTGCTCCAGTCTGTAGTAACATCATTTTTAAACCTTTCCATACCTGTTTATTCTGCCAGACCCAATTATAGCAATTTTCCTATGCGCTGTTTTTTTTCTGTTTTATTACCTTGTCGCCTCGCATTTTTGTCACATTTAAAAAAGTACAAAAGGTAAAATCGAGGTAAATAAAGCATCAGAAAGAATATAACAAGAATTGGAAAAGGGTTGAATCGGAAAGAATTCTAGGGTGTTGATGCATTACAATGGGATTTGAGGTAATATTGTATAGTGCGTCAAGATTTGCAAATAATTCTATTCGTGTGGTGGAGGCTTATCTTTTCATTTATCTGTGTAATGATCATGTTGTATCCGTACAAAAATTCATTTCTTCTAAAATCTGCCAAATTTTCTCAAAGTTCACTGCAATTTTCATCACATATTATATCTCCTAAGCCCTTAACAAAGTTTCTTATATTAACACCGCTATGGGAGACGAGCATTCTGTGACAATCCTTATGTTACAAACTGTTTAAAAATCCATTATGCTTCCTAAGGTCAGCCCTGTTTAGACCTTTAGTACCACTAAAAACTTGTTGTGTCAAATTTTCCTTTACAACTCCAAAGATCCTCTATTTTTTTAAATTTTAATCAGTTAGTGGTATCATTTTAAATTTATTTTTACTAGTTTTACTAGTTTACCCAGACTCAATTGTAACCACTTCACACTACCTCTTCTTTTTCCCTTATATTTTACTCTTGACACTGCAAGATTGGATGCAGGTGTTTGCCTTTTTGTGATATTCCAATTATTTTCTAAAAGCCTGTTATACTATCGTAAACTCATAGGCTTTCCAAATTGTATTAGTATTGTTTGCATCCTCCTTAAGTTCCTTCCTTTTTTCTTTTTTTAATCCCATAATAGTTTCATTTCAAATACCCATCTGCTTCCATTAATGTGTTGCTGAGGCCTTTTAATATATCCTCCATCTTCACTTTTCCAAACTATTCAGCAACAATTCTCTTAAGTTTGTATCTTATTCTCCCAAGCACTATTACCACGGTAAGAGGAGGGGTGCCATAGTATTATTGCGGGAATGGAATGTTCAGGAAGAATTACGCAGATTTTATTGCTGTGGTAAACACCGATTTTCAAAGGGTTATTAAAGAAATATAGTGGATTTTTATGAAATATCAAAAGATACTCCAAAGTTTGGAATATCTCACCAAAGAGACATTAGGGCAGGTCTTTTCGTTTTCCCTATTTCTTATTATCCGTAAGATCTTCTAAAGATCCTAAAATTCCACTTCATCTTGAGTAATTAATATCCAAAATTGTCTTTATTCTTTTCATACTCCACTTTGCCACTATTTTTTGCTATATTCCCGGAACTAAACCCATTAGTAACATTGCCATCAATTTTCTTACATGACTTCATAGTTTTAGACATCATTATAGTCCTTAACCATTCACATTTCAGATTCTCCTTATTTCTCTTTAATATACCCTATCAATTACCTCATCACGTTCTTGTTTTATAAACACGCGATATGACTCTCTTGAATTTCCTTATAATACAACCACTTCGTCTAGCCCTTATATTATATTAAACTCTCGTTGGTGGTTGTACCAAAAGTCATTGCAATCTTTTGCTGCACTAATGGTCCTTTAAAATCCGTGGAAAAAACTTCTTTCAGCTTCCACATTGATATCCTTCCAAAACTTATCATTTTTGCAAAAAATTATCCTGAACGTCATCAATATTCCCTTTGACTTATTTGCTGAACTCTTGCTATTAAGCATCAGTAAAATCACCTTAAATCATTATATATGGCTTAGAAACTATCATGCTCCATTGGCAACTTCATCAGAACCTGTTATAATTTTTCATGCTCCCGTTATCACTTCAGAAACGCTGTTAACCCACTGTTAACGCCAAACCTACACTTGGCCAAAGTATTTGAACCCCTTAACACTCCTACCCTTGTCATGTCTTGGGAATCTTATTAAGCTGCCTCAACTTGTCATGTCTTGGGAATCTTATTAAGCTGCCTCAAATACTTCACTCAGTATCCCTTGAACCATTGTACTTTTTAATTCTGTCCATTGTATATCATTTTTTTATTGCTTTTACCATCCCAAACTTAGCTTTATCCTTGTCCGCTCTCAATTTCGCGACCATAATCTTCCGTCAGATCTAGCTGTATACTTTTATCACAGCCACAATCAACAAAACTGCTATAACTGCACTGATTAGGAATATATCGAAAGGCTTAATGCTCCATTAAATATATATTATTTATCAGCGTGGTAAAACGGGTGAATATTTTTTTTCAGATATTAAATAGCGAGCGAACTACAGGTAGAATATATATATCGTATAACTTGTTTGCAAAAATGCAAAAAGTAATTGTCTTAACTCGGATTCTACTCTCGTCAAGTAATTTTTAAAACTTTTTTTTAGAAAATAATGTTTGGTAGTTCCGAATAAATTTATGTTTAATTTGCTTTCTTGCTTCTAACTACAGAGGCAAATTCTCGATCTTCTTTGTAAATTCATAAACTTCAATAAAAATCTTTTATGGAATTTTAAACAAAATTCTTATTAAGGTCGAAATTATAGATTTTTTAATTAACAGATCATTGTTATGAAGGATTGGTTTTAAAAGATCAATTATGCTTTTTAAAACGATATTCTAGTTTTTATTTTTGCAATAAACGTTTCTTTTTGCTTCAGATTTTGTTAAGCAAGAAGCTGAAATAATAATACTTCCTGATATTCAGCGAAAATTTTCAATAAGAAAAATATTTGAGGAAAATGGTTTACAAGAAAAAATTGAAGCACTTAGTTTGTCGGATGAGTCAACAAAAATTAAAGGGCCAGACGCAACTGGAGGACAACAGGAACAATCAAAAACAATAGAAGAGCGCAAAGCATCCAGGTCATCTAAGGAAAGCCAATGTGAGAGAGATGATAGAAAGCCAATGTAAGAAAGATGCAACGGATTTTTTCATCCTCTAGCATTAGAAAGGTGTGGAAATTGGTCAAATTTGGTTTTTATATCTTTATAAATATATAAATCTTATAAATTTTAATTGATTAAATTTTGTTTATTATCGTATTTGATCATTATCTGAAAATGCCCAGCTATTTTTATCATTTAACTCGTGTCATTTCATAATTCTCCTGTTCAGATTAATTATAATTGTTTACTGAATTAAGTGTATATGAAATATCGAAATTTTCTACTTCTGCTTTCATTTTTCCGTACAATCAAGTTTTTTTGACAAGTATCTTGATCAGAAGAACAAGTTAGCTTGTTTGCTCTTGGTAACTCCTGTTGCGTTATTTTTGCGGTTTGCGACGCAGCATTCATTGAAAAATATTACTCAATAGAATATTTGATATTTCTGCTTTGATATCATTCAATTTTTATTTCCACAATCAGTTTTTTTGTCTCAAAAATGCCTCAAATTTCTTCATTTTATGAGTTTTATTCACGTGTTGTTTTAATTTTTTTTTATTATATGTTTTATTCATTCATGGCTTTAGAATTTTTTCCATTTGAAGACATATTTAAATCATGAAAAAGCAAACGGTACTTTCGCCAACAAAATGTTGATTTTTTTGGTCCCTTTGCGAGTAATTATTGGTCAAATTTATTGAAAATAAAATTAAATAGGTATGAAAATCGCCCTTTCGAAAGATTCAAGCAAATAAGTTTTATTCAGCATTTTATTGATGCATTTGGTAGGTTAAATAAACGGTCTTTAATGATATAAAAATTATGCCTAAAATTAATGCTTTTCTCATTAAAGATTGTCATTTCGATAAGAATACTTTTGACTATTTGACAATTTAAAAAAAACTTAAAATTTAAAAATTAAAAAACTTCGTTAATTTTCCTCAGGTTTAAAATATTTTCTTATAGTCTGGTTTAAATGAATGCTAAAGTACTTTTCATTTGGACTGTGAAATAAAGTGGGAATTTGATATTGAATTTTGTTTGCATCTAGCAGAAGTAACTGGGAATTAAGTGATCAAAGTTACCCATTGAAGATCTGCATTTTACACGGTTTCTTAAACAGTTGAATCTATAAATTAATTTCTTGAAATTTGGAGCAGTAAATGAGCAGACCGTGACGAGGATGACCGATGTTGAGGAGTGAAAGTTCGAGTCCTCCATCTTATGAGCATAGATTTGTTAAAAAATATGTGTGGGTTTATAGGTTTCAGTTTGGGGATAGAATGGTTCAGTGGGTCAATTGGAAGCGCCGATGCTGAGGTTCGGTTCCGGGTTGAACCTGTATAAAAATCCGGATGATGCTGGTGACTCCCTGTATCTCTATTGCCAAAGGAATCCCTGGCATATTGCCCAGTGCGATAAGCCAGTGGAGCAAGTTTAACCAACGATGGTGAGGACTCTTAAAAAAGTTTTAATTAGAATTCAATTTCCAAATTCAAATTTATAATTTATATATTTGTACGATTCCTAATTTAGACTGTTAAATTTACAAAAATACGGTAATTTTTCCTAGGTAAATCAGAAACGTTTTGTATATTACTTCAATTGGTCTCCTATTTTCTATCAAATGAGGTTTGTGGCGAACGTACTACTATTGTAAGTATTTTCTTGCAGCAAATACTCTTAATGCAATTTCATTCCTCATAAAACTTTTAAAAAACTAATATGAAATATTCAAAAAATATAATTCAAAAAGTGAATAAATGTTTTCAGTTTTAATTGGAAATTTTTTTTGAAGCTCTTAGTTTGCCATTTATTTTTCGGTACCATATTTTTAATAATACATTTCAAAAAATTGCCAGTTCTTTCAGAAATCATTCTTCAAAAAGATTTCACAGATTTTTCACATTACTTCCCAATGTTTTTTTTCAAGGCTTAAAATCTACTTTTATTCATGAAAGAATCCACTATTTTTGTTTTGCATCGACATAGCAGCTTCAACTTTTTTTTAAGCCGTTCTTTTTTGCCTTTTTGGTTTTATTTTTAAAAGATAATTTTATTTAACAATTAATTTCGAAATGTTATGATTGCAGTGAGCCAAAGTAAACTTATTTCAGTTCAAATTATAGGTAATTATTGAAGATTGACTGACGCTTTTATATTTCCATGTCGATTTAAATGCTCTCTGATAATAAATTGGCTTTCGAAAATATTCTACATTATTGGCCCAAGAAATAATGTTTATGCCTATCGAATTTTGATAATCGTTCAAATCTTATTTTAAAAAAAACAAATTTTAAATTGTTCATAAACAATTCACGAAAAATTTTGTATTTAATGAAATCTTTCATGGAAGAAAGTTGGAAATCGACTTGTTATAAATTGTAGAGTTTCATACATATTAATTTTCATGCGCTAATTCGCGTTTCAATAGATCGGCTTGTCGAACTGAATATTCATCATACGGCATCCTGAAATTTTCGATATTCTTCGGGAATTTCATCACTTAAAACGAAAATATTTAAATGCCTGCAGTTTTCTTTAAGTCCTGAAATCCCCAGTTTCTGGGTCGCTCATGCGTGATATATTCTATAGAAAAGTGACAATTGCAAAAGCCTGGACTATTTAAAGTGTCCAATCATATTTTATACAATTTAGCCCTTTAAATTTCAATATTAAATGTTGATCTGTTGTTTATTGGAGAAATTATATATTACAAGTTGAAATTTCGATTTGGCTGAAAGCCTTGATTGTCAAAGTCAGCGAGCCATAGTGGATCGTTTAGCGCAGATATGCGTTGGCTGCGTTGGAAATAATTTTTCTGAAATTCTTACATAAATTAGTTCTAAAAATGCGAAAAATTTTAAGCAAAAATGTACACTTTCACAATTGCGAATCTCAAATTCAAATCCAATATTCACCTTTGCATTGAACTTGGCAATTATCGTTTAAGGAAAAGAATTTTAAAAAAAAAATTGAAGAATACAATTTCAACGAACCCCTCGAAGATTAAAAATTTTGCCAGGAGCCGCAATGATATGAAATGCTACAGCAACTTCTAACAGAATCGAAAAGATCCATATTGGCAGAAGTTTCATTTTGAATGCGAATCACTTCTGAATTTCCCGAAATTTTTTATCAATTTAGTAATTAATTTATTAAAATTGCAAGTATCGAAAAACGTAAAAATATTAATTTTTCCATAAATATTTTCTCCATAAATATTAATTGTTTAGTTTTCAAAATTAAAACTCTATTCGTTCACTAAATTATCTCTATTTACTTGAAAATCATAAAAAATTTTCTTTTCTTTTTAAAGTAAATAATTTTTTTAAAAAGAGCCCTCGCCATCACTGGTTAGACTTATTCGGCCGGCTCGTCGTATAAGACGTAAAATATGGGAGTCTTTTGGCGACAGAAATATAGGTGAGTGGCCAGCACCACCTGGATTTTTGGACAGGTTTACTCTTGTCGGGAGTAGAACCTCAGCAACAACCGAATTGAGCAACGACCCACTGAGCCATTCTACTTTCCATCTATTATATTTGAATCATATTGCACTCCTTATGCCTGCGAGTTATAAATAATTAATAAACGTCAAGAATGTGAATGTAAATTGTCGTTATGATAAGGTGAGAATTAGTTCATCCAATTTTTGCCTTATTATTGATAAATGCGAATAAATATAAAAAACCGGAAAAATTTAGAATTTTTGCATTCAATTGATTGCTCATCGTACGCATTATTTTGATAAAGGCATAGCACTGCTTAAAAAATTTAGAAATTTATTTTAAACAATCCCATAATCGTTGAATTTCAAGAAAAATCGTATTGAAAAAGGCATCAAAAACTATTTAAAGGAAGCGAGTATTTGCATTAAATTCGATATTTCATTCTGGCCTTTGCAAAGAGAATACTCATAATCAGCAAACTTCCGGAATCGTTAATTCATAAAGTTCCAATGTATGATGGTTGAGTGGTATGCTGCTTTCACTAAGTGCAAACTATCGCAGGCTCGGCTGATTGTTGTCCCTTGCTAGACTTATCATTAAGCGTGAAATTTGGATAACGCTCATGTTGTACTCGGTTTCCAAGTGGCTTTGTGATAAAAGGATAACTTTATTAGCCAATAAAGTCAGCCAAACCAGGAACGGTACTGTACAGGAACGTTAAAGGAAAATTATTTCTTTTCTTTGTTCATATTATTATTATTATATATTTTTCTTTCGTCGATGTACTAAACAATTACAATTTTTTGCTACATATGTTAATTTCATACGAAAAATTCGATTAGATACTTAGAAAAATGCAAATATTCTAGAAAGGTAAATAAAGAAAGTGGAAGCATTGCAAGTAATGGAAAAACTGGAGGCACAAATAAATTTCGTACTCTCTTCTTCCATTATTCATTGTCACAATTTGACCCATTCAAATATTCATAGGCAAAAGATATTAATGAACGGTGTGCACGAAATATTTGCCATCACATCACTTTATATTTTCTTTGGTATAATTGAGAAAAAAGCTAAGAAGATTTGCAAAAATGAATGATTTGAAGTAATGCATTAGAAACACTGAAAAAATTGATGTTCGAATTATCAAACATCTTTGAAAATCCAAAAATTTTTATTTATATTATTAAAAACTAATTTGGTTCCGTATTGCTCTGCGTGATCGCTTATCGCTATTTTTTATTTCATTCTACTCGAATAAATATTTAAATTAAAATTTGGGTAAAAATGCTTAAAAAAATATAAAAATATTTGGTATTCGACAATAATTTTTATTAAAAATTTAAAGTTGGAAATATTAATTTTTCATATTTTTTAGTAAAAAAAAAAATTAAAAAATCAAAATTAATATTGAAAATTTCATGTGCTTCAAATTTCATATTTCATGTACGAAATTTGCCAAGATATATTTATTAATTTTTGTATTTCAAAAATTTTTTGAATAAATTTTAAAGATTTCTATATATATATTGATTATAAAAAATTCGTCTAAACAAGCAATATGTATGAAGTC